GGAATCACATGCTCAATAGTCTGCTGAACACTTCAGAAACCAGAATCATCTCTGGCCTACGAGACACTATGTGTCTGGCATGGACTTAACCTGTAACGATGACAAGTAGTAGTTGTCATTGTTACTCCACATTATTTTTGGCTGGCTACAGTAAGGTGACTTTCATCGGTGCACAGCGAGGGGTCTGGGGGATGGTGCAGTCTTTGACTTGAAGCTGGCATGCTGTCATGTTAAAGTACTAAATGTCTCAGGGAATTAACAATTTTGAATCGAAGCAGAAAGGTTCAGTAATCTCTATTCTTGTTATCCAAACATAGATAACTGCTTTCAGATTATATGTACATCTGTCGGCCTACAAACAAATGTGTAATTTACCAAGAAAAATGTAAACTGCAGAGGAGTCAGTGAAGTTTCTCTCTAAATTTAGATTCATATTAATTTAATGCTTTCACGGCCAGGAGTAACTTCTAAACTGAAACATTGAAGGTAGTGTTGCAGTTGGCTGATTAAAGAAGCATCTGTCTGGAATAAAGCTGCTCTTTGTTGTTTGTGAGAGCCAGGTGGGAGGAAATTGCAGACGAGCTCAAAACGTGATTTCCAGCAGTATCCTAATCTCATCTGACCTCAGAAGCTAAGCAAGGCAGGGACTGCTCACTAATAGGATGGGAGAAAACCTAGAAAACCAAGTTATTATTACAAGTGGTGTTGGTCAATCATAGGAGTAAAAGAAAATGGCTTCCTTGTCTGTCTGAGATATCCCAGTTTAAACCCAGTATCAAAAAATGCAGATGTCTGATTGTTTGTGAGGATTCCCAAGAAGTAAGATTTTGCTAGGCCTAAAATCATATAAACTCTTCAGCTTTTAGAATAAGGTATGCCAGTGAAAAGCATTTCAGAGTTTACAGACAGTAAGAAGGCTGAATTTTCTGGGCCTGCCAAGCTCCCTTCAGTGTAGGCCCTAATTATTCTCTGATATGCTGGCCTTTCATGTTCCCGTGCAGGCTGGGTGTGGGCGAGAGGCCTAGGCAAGATACAGTCACTCAGTCCCTGCTGCTTGGCTCCAGAGAGACGGATTGACAGATGTTCTGTAACGTGTTGAAACGCTCATGTAGACTTTGTTTACTTCACTTGTAATTTGATTGGTGATGGTTGTGATGTTTTTAAAGAGACGCAGAGCACTCAGATTCACAGCAAATGTTTACTGCAAAGTTTGAATGGAAATACAGAATCAAGGAAGCCTCGTTTAACAGCCCAGTCTGAGTGGTGTATTGAAGCAAGATGCAGTATGTGAAACCAGTCCTGTATTGTACATAGAGGCATGATGTGAAAGCATGATATGCTTCGGCATATGTGTAATTTGTCATTTTAAACTGTACATTTTTTTTTCTGTAATTCAGTTATGATATCATGCATGCTATCTAATGACTAAAATTACTAAAAATGTAAGTGATAAAAAGATTCCAAATACTAATGAAATTGTGCGCATTATATTCTTGTGCGGTGTAGTGTTTTTTTTATATAACCTGAAATAAAAAAAATAACTTGAACAGAGATGGTTCTTCACTTCATTCTAAATCTTTTAACTGTAGTTTACGTAAAATGTAGCTCTATTAGTAAAGCTGAGTATTTACTTTTTTAGTGAATGTTTTAGAAATAGAAATTCACATTCTAATTCTATTATTTAAGTTGTGAGAAATATGCAACAACATTCAGTGCATGTTGTCTCTTGTGCTGTAATCCCTTCATTCTGTTTTGTCTGACAACAAAAGGTATCAGAGGCATTATGGAGCTGTGAAATCTCAACCCCTTTTTCTGCAAAGCCATTAAAGGAACGAGCGTAAAAAGTGTTCCTACTTTTGTCTGAAACTTAATTTCCGTTTACGATCTGCTTTTGAATTGATCATATTGAACAAGGTTTCTCTTTGCTTGTTAGGTCATGGTGTGTGGGCAGGCTTTCAGTGAATTCTGAAAGAGCACTTTTCTGGTTTCCTGGAAGAATTAAAATCTTCTGGTTAATATTTACTTACTTTCTTAATACTGCATAAAGACTGCTGACATTTGTCTCTAAAAAGGTAAATGTGTAGCTTACCATGAACTGAACTACAAATTTCGCAGACTAGTCCCGTTCAGTCAAGAACCGCATTCTTTAAAGACCTTCAGACCTTATACTGCAGTGGATGCAAGTATGAATCTGACCCCAAAAATGACTGTGATGCTGTGATATTCTTAATTTAGCCCTTTGAGAACACAGCACCATTGCTTATAATTTAAGAGAGTTCAGCAATTATGTGAGGGTCATATGATAAGATCTGCTGAAATATTTACCTTAATTAAATATGCTATAGTTTTATGCTATAGTTTTGTGAGGTAATTGAGTACAGTATTGTGTTCAAATATTATTAATTCAGACATTCACAAAGTCAATTCACTTTGCTGGATACCTGCGGATGCAGTTTGATGGATCGGTGACCTCATCAAATTTGCAGGAAGGTCTCCCTGCAAGGTTGGGAGATGGAAGAACAGCTGGCAGAGCTCCACAGAGAGGACAGCACCAGTGCAGCTTGTGTTGTTAACAGAATAAATAGAACACTGTTTTTTTTCTGGTGCTCATCAGCCTCTCTCAAGCTGACAGATATTGAAGTAAGCTAAATGAGGAATGTTTAGAACTCAGAACCTGAGCAAAGATGCTGAAAGAGCT